TGTATGTATGTATGTATGTATGTATGTATGTATGTATGTATGTATGTTGCTATATGAACATAGTAATAATATCATGATTCTGGAAGGCAAATGAGTGTTGTTCCAGAAATAAAAGCTTTATTAATACCTGCCAGAATTCCAGAGCAACCAATGGACTCTCCTTACTACTGCAAAAATAATACAGCAGCATCTTTTACATGTCAGACAGGTTGTGCAGTGCTGGATAGTAAGTAGTAACGGTTTTAGGTTTTGTTTTGTTTTTAATGCTGGCGTGAGGAAGTGAAATTTTCCCAATCCTCTTCCAAGCTTAATTCCGCTGTGGGAGGGATGAGTCCTAAAGTAATTACCACATAATCACTGTAATATAAACAAGCAGAAGCTCCAGTTGTGATGAAGATGCAGAAATAGAAATCTTGCTTAAAAGACATAGACCATATCTAACAGTGTTTTTGCATACATAAAGAAAACTATATTAGTGTTCCCATAGATAGTTTGAAAATATAACATCTGAATTAAAACCATGTGTTGATGGATATTATTCGGGCATTTTCTAGTGTGTAATCCTTAAACTAAACATGGCCCAGATTAAAATAAATTCTCCCTGTTTGAATTTTGCAATGTTCAATGATGAATGATCACTTTAAGGATCAGCAAGGATTGGGTCATTATTTGTTTATTTATCTATTCATCACATTTTTGAGCCATCCATCTCCCTCAGAGAGTCTTCCTCATCTGTCTTTTCATATCAATGGGAAATGGGCATTACTTTCTCCAAACAGATAATGCGGCCATAATAATATTCAGCTATTACTTGTTTGGGGAGCTGGAAAAATTGGACAGCAGTAAAATGATTTCAATAATAATGATGCTAATAATGATGGCCGTGATGATCTGATTCAAATTTGATCAACGCCTCTCCACAGAATTAGGCATATTTTTCAAAGTTATCCCTGCCTTTTCTCTTTTAGTGAGAACTTAGCATCGAATAGAATCATTCATGAAATGGAGTTACAAAAGCAAATCCCTCATTTAGTGATTTTCAGGTCTTCTGGTATCATCCAGATATCACTATATTTGTATTTTTTTTCTTCATTATTAAACAATAATGTAATGGTTGGATAATACTATGTGCTTAATGGTTGGGTAATGCTAAAGAAATGCTAGTAAGGCTTATTTCTAATATCTACATGTTCAAGGATAATGAAAGACAATTTGGAGATTTTTGTACTCCAGGCCATTTTGAGAAGTGCTTGATGCACGTTTGTATTAAAGGAGGAGCGGCAGTCAGGGGAAGAACTAGTTTTGTCCTTTAGTTCTCACCAAGTAGTGGGAGTGTGGACCCATCTTTTAATCCCCTCCCCAATATGATAGAATCTGTGTTTGTCTGAGAGACTACATGCAGTGGCTATTCTTTCCCTATACACAATGCTCCAAAGCAATGCTGAATCCAAATCTGGGACGTTATGCATGATACACATTTATAGGACCAACTATCTTTGTTGGAAAGCACAGCTCAGATTTATAGTCACGTTAAAGTAACACATTCAGTTGAACTGGTACTGTGAGGACAACAGTAATGACATCAGTATAATCATTTGTCTCTAGCATAACAACTTCAGCATCAAGAATCAGAGTCAGAAGCTGATTATGTTGGGAATCTGCAAAAGCTTAGATTCTAGCTGAAGCTGAATGCTGTCTCCCAGTACCCAGTGGCCCCTTCCTGTCCACCCATAGAACTAAAACCCTTGCCTTGCCTTGGCTCAGGTAAAATAATGAGGAGGAAGTGGGGGAGAAGGAGGAGAAAGAGGAGGAGGGACGGAAGGAGGGAGGGAGGGAGGGAGGAAGGAAAAGTAAGCAAAAAGATAGAAGATGGACCTCCAGAGAAACTGCCTAAAAAACCCAGCAGGGCTGGAACCAATTCTTTCGGAAGTCTTGGAAACTTTTACTTTCTAAACCATAATAATGTTGTACTATGGCCTTTTCTACCTACTACTTTACTGTTGAAAAGCAGCTGACAGTGAGTTTCACAAATTTGCTTAAGGACAATTTGTTGAATAAACCACAATTGTCTGGGTTCATATAACACATCTAAAACATCATCAAACTTGGTCTACAAACTACAATAAACAAATGGCTCTTCTCTCAGGCCTTAGGCTAGGGTTAGTGAAGTCCCCTGTGCTGGATGTTTCATGTGGGTAGGATGCTTTGCAGTATCTTCTGGGTTCTTCATCGTGTTCTTCCTTCTTTTTCTTCTGGTCTAGCTTGGTTCTGCAGTTTGTAGTTTTGTAGTTTGTTTCTTATTACATTGTTTTTATCCATTGTCATGTATTTGAGATGCCTTGAGTCATTTGGAGTCAGACAACATAATTTTTAACTAGCTAGCTAGCTAGCTATCTACCTAACTTATAC